CACTGCAGTCTTTAACATTTTACATGCTAATCACCTACTTACCTTCCAGAATCCTACAACACAATACACTATCCCCATTTCATAGATGAAAATGAGTCACAGACAAGGAAACTAACCACGCCACACAGACAGAATCAGAACCAAGATCCAAAGCTTGGAATCTGGTTCCGAGGCAGCCTGTGCCAACACTCCACTGTGGTGCTTTTATGTGCCTTCATTATAGCTTTGTCACGAGAGCATCGTTTCCACTCTGTCCAGACATCTCGTTTCTCTAACCACCCCATGTTAAACGACCTGGGTACTGTATCAACCTCAGGAGACCATCAACACTGTGAGGAGAAAGGTGGCTCTTGCTCTCTTCTCAAGGAAACAATCCTACAGACTGGGTGCAGACAAACATGATTCTCAACTGGACAATCTGCCTCTGAAACAGGCACATACGGCTCCCTAAGTGAAGGTCTTCTGTGTTAGGAAAAACATTTCTTCCTCTTAGATTTCTCCTTTACTTCCTCCTCCTGTGCTTTAGGTAGGAGTTTCCTAACAAGAGAAAGAGATGGGGGAGGGGGGGTGAGTGTGTGGGGGGGAACCGCGGGGTCCTCTGTCTTCTCATTACCATTTCTTTTTCTTTCCTGTATTACTTCTCCTTTAATATTTAAATAAGGGTTTTGTGTGCATGAATAATTGTATTAGTTTTAAAATTTTTAATATATGAAAATATCTACATGACATGCTTAGATTATGACCCCTAAAATGGTATCATCGGTTTAGAATAGTAACTTAACAAAAGTAAACCTAAGTATTCATATAATGTATGTATAACAATGTAGGCAATATATTTAAGTTACGGTAGCCAATTCCTAGCCTTCCAGAATCTTCTACTGAAAAATTCTTACCTGTACACACCCTGAGTAACTCATTAAGAATCACTATCCAAGACTCAACCCCAGTAAGCTCCCACCGTCTTCAGGTGGCATTTCCTGAGCTCTCCTGCTTCTATCCTGCCGAAGACATCCCTCACAACAGCCTGGCCGTCGTCTCAGCTTTACAACATGGCACTCTCCCTGAGATTAAGGTTATTGAATATAGAGCCTAACAAACTGTCAACTTAACAAGAAGGACTTCATGTGCCCACCTCCCACAAAGACAGCAAGTCCTACTTCCCTCTCCTCCACTGCACCAACAAAAATCACACAGCACAGCAGTCTTCACAAAGAGTTTCCAAACATCAAGATAGTAAATCTTCTATTTTACTGACAGGAAATAATTTTTAGTCACCTTTTAGTGATATAATTTTAATACACCATAGAACTCTAGACAAAAATTCCTTGTAAAAGAAATCATCGCCGGGCGGTGGTAGCGCATGCCTTTAATCCCAGCACTTGGGAGGCAGAGGCAGGAGGATTTCTGAGTTAGAGGCCAGCCTGGTCTACAGAGTGAGTTCCAGGACAGCGAGGGCTACACAGAGAAACCCTGTCTAGAAACCACCACCACCCTCCCAAAAAAAAAAAGAAAGAAAAGAAATCATCAAAAGTCAACATTAATTCTCACAGTATAGCTGGAAGTATTTTTTTCTTTGGAAACACACAAAACCCTCATAATTTTCCAACTAGTACTGGGCATACAGAAGCCTTAAGTACATACCAACTTCATTAAAGTCTTCGAATGTGATCTTGCCTGTGGCTTCTCTGTCATAATCTTTGAGAATCTTCAATACATCAGCCTTTTTCACATCAAAGCCCAAGGCTCGCATTGCCACCTTTCGGATTAACAAGGAAAGACAAACTGTAAAGCACTCCTTCCAAAAGAAGTAAGCACTGAGTTCTAAGACAGTCTTCCATCTTAAAAGACGATAGATTACTAAAGCACAGTTATTCTGTATTTTTACCCCTAACTTAAGAATATCAAACCATGTTAGTTTTTCAATTTGAAATGAAATAGAAATTATTTTCATTGACATTTTTCTGTTTTATATGACCAACTAGTTAAAAAGAATTTACAAAAAAAAATACATAAAACAATGCACTAAATACAAAAATAACTATTTTTTACCAAAGGATTAAAGACATGTCACAAATATTAAAAGGCTAGCCAAGAGCATTAAAGCAGTAAAGAAGCATAAAAATTCCAGACCTCTATGGTTGACATCATGGAATTTTATAATCTTATCATTCAAGGGACTGAGACAGGATTGTCATAAGTTTGAGACTAGTATAGGATATCTATAAAGATCCTTTCTCAACAAACAAGCAAGCAATTGGTGTTCCCACCAGAGCACCCAATCAGCTACTGCGGTGCAGTCAGTTTCAGATGACTGAGTTTAAACCTAAACCTACAGCTAGTACAAGGAAAGGAAAGCTGTGCTGCTAGTTAGTGACGTCTTCTCTGTCAGTCATCCCTCACTGAACAGATGAAGAGCTGAACGGATGTGGGACAAAGACTGGGACAGACGGCCCTGAACAGAGCTGTCCCCTCTCCAGACAGGGAGGGTCTGGGCAGAAGTCATTAGTAAGTAAGAACAAGTGGGGTTAGTGGAAATAGCAGCATCCAAAGGCAACAAGTGCAGAGGAAGCTTTACTTAGTGTGAAGGGGCAGCCAGGAAAGGCTTAGGAGTAACAGACATGGTCAAAGAACTGCAGGAAGATGGAAATGGAATGGTAGTGGAAGGCAAAGCAGAAATGACGGAGCTCCAACCATGACAGTCAATGACAACAAATGCCTAAGACACTACAGGAATAACTCACACAGTGTGGGGGAGGGGAGCAGCAGCAAGAGAACACTGAGATGGGAACGAGCGAAAAGGGGACCTCAAGACTGAGGCCAAAGCTTCAGGCCTATTACTACTTTTAGATAGTATATCCTCTCACTACATAGTTTCTACCCCTACTTGAATTGCTTCAAATCACCTACAATGTTGCCCAATTTAAAACTTCTAAGTGAACCTTTAAGGGAACTTAAAGAGATCAAAATGTTCTCTTCTTACTAGGCTGAACTTAAGAAATATGTTCATAACCAATTGTCTCTTCTAGCTTTACTCTAAGCCTTAAATTGGACATTTCCCTCAGCACAGAGCAGCATTAGGCGTCAGACAAGCTATAACCTTTATAAAGGAAAAGAGCACACTACGAGTGTGGTAGTACTACCTTAAAAATTAAAGCTCAATCTCAGAAATGGCTGAACAAAGACAACGGTCTCTCCATCTCAAAACTGTTTAGGTTGCACTTTGGAGATGGCTCAGTGAGTAAAAGTGCCCCACCCTGCAATCTTGTGGACCAGAGTTCAAATCCGCACAACTTGTATACAGGCTGGCATGGTTGCAGGTGCCTGTGATGAGGTGTGCAGACAGGAATGATCCCCAGAGTTTACTCTCCAGCCAACCTAGCTAAGGCACTGAACTTCCTTCCAGTTCAGTGAGCTAGCCTGTCTGAAGGCACTAGAGTGCTGGAAGCCACAAACCTGGTCTGCCCTCCACATGGTACACAGTGGGATCTATAGGCCTGCAAGCCCACATGCGCATGCCGCAAACATCTGGTTTTTGAAGACTCTGAGCTATACCATCCCACAGAGAAAAACCACAGTGGGAAGAACATGCCGAGAACTGTTCCTTTAACTCGGTGAATGGAAAAGTCCGACCTTCCATCACAATGTACTTTTACACTTAATACAAGGTTCTGGAAACCATATTCCGGTTCTACTCAGTTTTCTTGTAGCACTTGTAGGTGGGCACTACAAGCTTCTAAAATAGACTTTAAAGGAAGTCTCAAATGCAACTGAGTTAAACAAAAAATGGGCCTTATAGTACCCTGTTACCTTTAATTCATGGTAATCTATGGCTTGGTCTTTGTCGGTATCAAACAGCTCAAAAGCATCTTTAATTTCTTGCTTCTGTTCTTCAGAGAGCTCTCTTCGTTTTTTCCTTTTTGTTTTGTCTACTACAAGCTCACCTCTAGGACACAGAAAAATGTCTTTAGTCCACTTTAACCCAACTTTGGGCAAAGAATTATTTTCTAAATTTCAATAAAACAGAGTAGTCTGGCAAATAAAGAAATTGTCCCTAAGTCAATGTCTTGTAGTCCAAATGTACTTTTATAACAGAAATCATAGTCAAAGTCGAAAGCACCATACATATTATTCATGTCATCTACCAAGAGCATAAAAATAAATAATAAAAAAAATCAACCAGGATAAACTTGGTTTATTTTGGACAGCTTATAAATTCTCACCATTACTACAAAAATCAACCATAAAACTTAGAGGGTTACTTCAGCACTGTAAGTTCAAAAAGTGTTTAGACTATACATTTCTAACAGTGCTTTGTGGTTTTATTACACTGATATTAGCCAGGCAAAATATAAAAGGGCCCAAAACATGGAAATACTATACGCCCAAATTCACAGCATCTAATACTTGTGTTTTAAGTCTACGAGATGTTTAAAAGTGTTTTAACTCTCACTTAACATGTAAACGATAGGTTAAACGTCTTCATTTTAAAACTCTGGAGAAGCTTAAAGAAAATCTAAAACGGGCACTTGGATCTGAAAATGTCTGCCTTAAAAAGCTGCCAATGCAAAAAGAGGTCCAAATGTTTAAACGAGGATACAACACGTGTATCAGCACGTTTTAAAAGATGGAAGCTTTAGAACCTCAAAATCTTAAAACTCGGCTGACTGTAACAGCTCGCCTTATTTACGTCTCAACGGCGTCTGGTCAGGAACGCCCGCCCTGAGGGCCAGACGTGGGGCTGACAGTGCTGAGCAGTGATGGCGGTGGCCAGGAGTCGTCCTCCCGTGACCCCAGCCGACCCCACACTCGCCACACACCCACCCCAGGCTGCCTGCCTCACGTCACCCTGGGTAGCCCAGGAACCGACGGCCCCGGGGCACCTTTAAGGGGAGATGAACAGGGTGAGGAACCAATGGGGAGGAGCGCTGTCCGGAAGTGACTGGAGGGTGTCACGGAAACGAGATGCACCCGAGATGCCTAAAGCACCGAGCCTGGGGACCCGGGGAGAAAGGCGAGGTCGCCTGTTTTTTCCCGGAAGAAACAGGCGACCAGGCCCGAGTCCCGCAGAGGCGTGAGGGAAACCTCGCGAGACTTCACTCGGGGTGCGGCGGAGTCCGGAGGCGGGAACCGCGGAGGTCTGCTGCTCGGCGCTCGGCACCCGCTTCCGATCTAGCCTCCTGTCCATGCCCGCCCTGGCCCTCTGGGGAGCGGAGGCGCGGCCTCCTGGTTACCGACCTCAAAGCTAAACTCATTTTCTCTCTTCCGACAGAGATGTTCCGCTCAAGGACTTTACCACGAGAACAGCTCAACAGCCGCCAACCTCCACGGCCTCGGGGACCACCCACCAGACAGAAGTTTCTGGGCCCGATTGGTTGAAATTGCCAACAGCCAGCCCGTTGGGGCGGAAGCGTCGCTTGTCTTCTGTTTTCATTGGTCAACGTTCATGTCAATCAAATACACTTTTTTTTTGGACCCTGCTGTCAGTTGGATTGGCTAGCTCCTTTCCCGAATCCTTGCGCGCCTTAGAGTCACCACGCGGACCCAGGCAGGCAAGGCGAGGCTCCACGGTGACCTGCTGCTGGAGTTCCAAGCACGCGTGCACAGCGTCGACAGCGCAAGCAGCCTGCTCAGAATGAGGGAGCAGTTATTGAGGAACCAGGTGTGCGAAAACTGTACAATATTGGGTGGCCGGTGCACCTGAGAAACTTAAATCTAAAGGCAGCATTCTTTATTCTTAGTTCAGTAAGGACCAAGCTAAGCGTTCTCCCCTCGTACAACTTGCCCAAGTGATTTTAAGGCAGACTGGATTAGGCTTTCCAATTTGTTGATTTGTTAGGTCATTTACAGTGAGGCTATCTAGACCTCCCCTTTCTTCTGCCTTTGTGTGCATCTGATCTTCACTCCCCACCAAGCCTCTTGAAGCTTACGGATCATCAAGCTGCTAGACTGACTGTCTTCAAGGCCAGGATTCCGTTTACATGAATATTTGTACCAAATAAAATATCTGGAACTTAGGTGCTCCATAAATACTTGATGCATAAAACAAGGTCTTATGGTAGAAAACTTGCAAACTACTGAGCTAACCTGCAGTTATTAACAGTTATTGCAGGTATAAATACAATAAACTGGGGCTAGGAATTAGAAAGGACAGATATTGTATGTAAGCTTGTATGTGAAGGAAGGACACTGTGTAATTGGCTGTATATGAGTTAAGCCTGGAATGTAGATAGGAGTTTGACAAATAAAGACGATAGAACTAAAAAGTAATAGCAAAATGGTAGCGCTCCCAAAACCAAAGTAGAAAACTGGTGAAGAACTCGCTGGGCAGTTTACACATTTTTAATCCCAGCACCCAAGAGACATGCAAGCAGATCTCTGAGTTCTTTACATTGTGAATTGCAGGCCAGCCAGGACTAGTAGTGAGACCCTGCCTAAAATGTAAAAATTAAGTGCTTTTATTATCAAGTTTAAAAGGAAGTTAGTTTAAATTATATACTAAAGAATGCTATTGGGAAAAAGACTACTGAATTTTTAAGATTGCAAAATCAAGAATAAGAAGAAAATTATTAAATAAAGGTGAACATAAACTAAATGGAGATGTTTGAAACAAAGGACAAAATCAACTAAATTAGAAGGAATAAATTACCAAAAAATATATAATGAGAATTTTTAAAGGCACATGATAGAATTAATAAACTACTAAAATATTCTCGTCATTTAATATGAAGGATTTTCTTACAACACATAACTTTCACAGACTTTTAGGAAGTGAAATGAGGAAAGAATTATTGATATTAAAGGTTATATTATAGGCCAGCAAGCTTAAAAATGCTTCTCATACAAGCCTGATGACTGAAGTTGGATTCTCACCCCTCGCAACCTCACTGGAAACCCATTGTGGAAGGAGAACCAACTCCAAACAGTTGTCTTCTGACCAACACACTCGTGCTGTGGCTGTAGCCATGTGTACACATACACACAGACAATAACAAGTATTATAATCTTGATGCTTCTAATACATATAGTCAAATTTAAATTTAAACATATTGGATCCACTTGGTTTTTGTGCAAGTTTTTTAAGACTTTTGAGCTAATTTCTCTGCTATAAATTCAATGCATGGTAATTATAATTTTGCATTTTGTAGCAAAGGTAACTAGCAAAAACCTTCAGCATGCTAACAACTTTGGCAGCCACTCAAATTAATTGGTTTTTAGCTGCTTCTCCCACCTTCTCTGAGAATCTAAGACTTACAAACTGCATACCCTGATGTTTTTCTTTTAAAGTAATAAAATGGCCTTCAAAAAGAAAACGGAGAACCCCAATCAAACAAAGGCAAGGAGCTGATTTGGATTAACAGTCTCAAAAAGCACACTCATCTTCAAAAGCCTCCAGAAAGGGGTATAGCATTACATACCTATGTAGGAATTGCAAGGCCCTAAGCAAATTACTTACACTGTACTATACTTACATATCTAATCTGTAGAAATGGGGCATCATCAAGAATGTTTTAACCCACCAAGCTTATAGGAATTTGTTCTGGCAACAATATTAAATGAAAACACTTCACAAATTGTGATGTATTGTATATGCTTGTGCCAGGGAATGGCACTGTTAGGAGGAGCTGTGGCCTTGTTGGAGTAGGTGTGTTACTATGGGTATGGGCTTTAATATCCTAGTCCTAGCTGCCTGGAAGTGAGTATTCTGCTAGCAGCCTTCAGATGAAGATGTAGAACTCTCAACTCCTGCACCATGCCTGCCTGGATGCTGCCGTGTTCCCACCTTGATGATAATGGACTGAACCTCTGAACCTGTAAGCCAGCCCCAATTAAATGTCTCTTATAAGACTTGCATTGGTCATGGTGTCTGTTCATAGCAATAAAATCCTAACTAAGACACAAGTCAAAAAAGAGAATGTTATTCAACAAACAAGAAGCCTAAAAGGCTGTTGGCCTGGAACGGATTGATGGGTACTGGGAGAAAAACTCTCAAAAAGAAAAATCAAATGGATTTCAAGCAATGGAAATGGAGACAAAGAAGGTGACTGCATTCAGTGGCATGGTGAAGACAATATTTATCTCCTATACAGAAAAGCAAAGATAATTAGAAAGTTCTTGAAAAATAAACAATTTAATAATGTCATTTCTTAAATATTTAGTGCATAGATATAAATTATTATTTAGTAAGTTAAACACTGTAGAATTAACAGTGACTCATAAGTGACTATTCTGGAGGCTGCACATAGATTATAGTAGTGTGGTAGGTAGAATAATAGCTAATGCTACATCTTGGTATCATGAATCCATAAATATGGTACCTAATAGGGGAAAAGATGTCTAGAAGTGTGAATAGAGTTCAGACCTTGAGATATGAGGTTAAAGTAGGTCATGAGAGTGAACAGAGTCTAATCACAATGTCTAATTCTGACAAGTACAGGATTTTCCTCACCTGTGATCAGGGCTAGAAAAAATTTGCTAAGGCTCAGTCTTTCATCATGGTTTTGAAAACGGAACCAGAAAAGTCCAAGGCATCTCTGAGTCGTGGATGCTAGAAGCCGAAATCTAACAGTGAAGAATAAAGATATCCCTGAAAGCAGGATTACCAGATTTCAGGTCATGAACGCCACCAAATCCAAAACCATAAATTACTTAAAGAGGTATGAGACTTTGGTGGGATGATTTATAACTCAGTTGTGCAGTTTGTCATAGTAAACTTCGTAGATTGACAATGTCGTTTCCCAATTTCAAAAGGCTAGATATGTCTGCTAGACATTTCCGAAAGAAACCCAGTCTTTCCAAGCAGTTTTTGGTCCAGTGAAGCCTTCAGATAGTATCTGGCTTTCAAAATTACAAGCAAACTTGTGTTAAGATTTGTCACAGCTACTATAAAGGACTTTCACAACGAATATGTGAGCAATGACACAATTAAATAGTTCAAATGCCATTAACTACGACCAAGACTCTGGAATAGACCCCTTTCTTGATTGCCATTTTTTATTCCATTAAATCAGTTTCAGAAGTGACAAAAATAACCCACAAGCTTCTTGTGGTCTTGTGTTTGATGTGTTTATAAAAAGATAAAGAGAGGAGGGGATATATTTTGGTGAATGTGTGGTGATGTGTGGGAGAAGGAGGTACCTCTGCAGGCCCATGCTAAGGCATCCTTTCCCCTGAGGGAGCAGCCACATGACAGTGTAGTATAGAACAGACTCTATTCAGGGCATGGGGAGGGGTGTTAAGAGGGCAGTAGAGGCAGAGAAAGACAGAGAGAGGGGGTGGCGGGGAAGGAGAGAAAGAGAGAGAGAGACAGAGAGACAGAGAGAGACAGAGAGAGACAGAGAGAGAGAGAGAGGAAGGAGGGAGCAAGCAGACCCTTTTATAGTGAGTCAGGCACACCTGGCTGTGGGGTGGAACTTAGGCAGAATTCTAACAGTGTTGGTGAAGATTATGAATTATAAAGAACAAGCTAAACCACTGCTCGTCTTAAATTTATAGTAAAATTATTGCATTTTCTGGTTTGGCATTTGAGGAAAATATAAAAATGTGTTTTGTTGATTGCCTCCCACCACCACTCATGATTTAGGTATCTTTCTAGTCAATAAAAAATATAAACCCTTTAAAAGCTCTGTGCCATTGATGAGAGCCAGTGATAGTTACACTTTCAGGGGAAATATCACTGATTTCAGCTAAGAATCAAAAATTGTGAACGAAATATTTGAACATTGAGTTTAGACTTAAATTCGTATTTATTAAACAAAGTAAATAGAATGATTGTGTATACTCAAAAAAAGAATGTTATTTCTTTAAAATATCATAAGCCAAAACACACTACATCAGGTGATAGTAAATGCAGCGAGTACCACTCACATTCCCCTCAGAATCAAGACCCTTATTCCTCCAGATTCCAACACTCCTGGCTACTGAAAACTCACAGCTCAATTCCTCCTGGGAAGTTGTTCTCCACAAAGTCAATGCCTTGAGCAATAATATACAGCTTCCATGCAGGCAAGACACACTCACAGACTTCCAGTGTGACAGAAGGAAGGCTGCTTGTTTGTTTTGTTTGTTTTTATTTTTTCCTAAAACAAGGAAACAGAGAGACTTTTCCAACTTTGTGGTTCACTCTGCAATCCTCTGAGGTTTCTGTCTTAACCACCTCATAGCTCACCTTCTCCTCTAGCCAATCTGCTCTGCCAGTTCCTTACAAAACTTGTTTCTAAGAAGCCTTCTGTTCAACCTAATTTGCATACATCTCTATTATAGTGTCTTTCAGACACTATCTAAGCTACAGAAATATGATAGAATTTTTAAAAGGGATATAAGAAATACATTGTTCAAGAAGAGCAAGATAGTTCAAGCGTAGTGATTTAAATTTAAAAGGGAAATAGTTAAGTTACTGTCATGCTTAATTTTGATCATCAGTTTGATAGGATTTAAAGTCGCCATAAGAGCAAATCTCTGTATCTGTGAAGGAGTTTCTAGATTAGGTTAACTGAGGTAGGAAAAGCAACCGTAAGTATAAATGGCACCATTTCTTGGGCCCAAGTTGTAACTGAATGAGAAAGAAAAAGAGGAGTTGAACAGCATAATTTCTCTTTCTCTGCATCCTCACTGCAGATGCAATGTACCCAGCTGCCTGTCATCATGCCTCCCTTGCCATGGCAGACTGTACCCTCAAACTGTGAGCCAAAAATCAGCCACCACTTCCTGTCTTAGTCATTGTTCTATTGCTGTGAAGAGACACCATGACCAAGGCAACTCTTAGGAAAGCTACCACACTTCCCTAAGTTACTTTCCTCTGCCATTTTATTCCAATGACAAGAAAACCAACTTTAATATTTTTAAAGAAAATCAAATATAGGGCTAAAGAAAGGACTATGGTTGACAACTTCCTGCTCAAAAATATTATGAAATACCTTTCTGAGATTAAATATTCAAAGAGTTTAAATGTTTAGTCTACTACGCTTTAAAAAGTTCATCATGTAGAAAATGAATAGAGTAATGCTGCTGCTCAAGA